TTATTAACGTTCGGGTTGCTGTATTTTTACTGGCTTTTTTTCTTATGGCAAATATATATCTGTAAACACGAAAAGTACGCAAAAATTCTATTTTTTTTTAATTTAAAAATCTTCTTTTAAAAATTTAGTCTTGTAATTAATATAATTACTGAATCAATTATTGTTTTCCAAAGAGTATTTGAACGTTGATAAAATTCGCATAAAATAACTTAATCTAATGATTAATATTTATAAATACATTTTAAATGAGAAGCATTTCATTGATGTTAGTTATATTATTAGTGGTTATAAAGAACATTTGATATTTTATTTTGAAATAAAAGTGAATTAAACTAACTAATAGTGAAATATATAGGACTTAAAATAAAAATGATGTAAGTCAAACATTTGAGATCTTTATTGTTTCAATTTATGATTTGGAAAATTTCATTCAGTTCCATGTCTATTAGGCAGTTTCTAAGTTTGAACTAATATTTATCCAATACAAATTAATTTAGTTTGAATTGTAAATTACAAGACAATATATATATCAGGGTGGTCCTTAATATGGACATTTTCGAATTTCCTTGCTCCCAAGGGCTCGAATGGTTCCAAATTGATAAAAAACAATTCTCTGAGAGTTTTAGCTCTTAATATTGTCTTTTAGATAGTGCGCAATTCAATCAAAGTTTTGTATGGAAATAGCATGGAAAAATTTTGAAAATTTTTCAAAATGTTTTTAAGATATAATTTAGCGAACAAATGAATGCGTTTTATTCAAAAAGCGACGCTCTACAAAACAAATTATAAAAAACCTGTTTTTCAATATTTTAGTTCGTCAATAAAAAATGACACAAGTTTGAAAACACACTTTAAATTCATTTGTCGCTAAGTTATGTTAATTTTTTTTTTTTATTTTCAAATTTTTTACATGCTATTTCCATACGAAGTTTGATTGAATTGCGCACTATCTAAAAGTTAATATTAAGAGCTAAAACTTTCAGAGAATTGTTTTTTATCAATTTGGAACCATTTGAGCCCTCGGGAGCAAGGAAATTCGAAAATGTCCATATTAAGGACCACCCTAATATATATATATATATATATATACATGTATATGTATGTATGAGTGTGTAATGTGTGTATTTTATAACTAAACAAGTATCCATATAGAAAATTTGTAAACTTTCTTGAAATACATATTGTGAATCACAACCATTCTTGAACAATTGGAGGTTTTACTTTAACATGGACATATAACCTGATTATTTATGTATATTTTTATTTGCATACATTCATATATGCAAACCCTTATGCATATTTTTTATATTTATATACAAATGAATATGTATGCTAATACATTATTTATTTATATTTAATAAGTGTTCAAATTGTTATTACATATAAACTTTTATCGATGAAAATATTACTTCAACACTTTTATCCAGCAAATATTACACAAAACATCTGATGCAACTTGTATCCTAAAAGTTGTCCAATAATACTCTTGAATTGCATTAATAAACAATGAAATTATGGTAAAATTAACTAAAAAATATAAGCCTTTAAATACGAATTAAAGCATAAAATTATATTTTAATACATTAGATGCTTAGACATATATGGCAGTCTAAAACATTTCGATTTGATTCATAATTTTACTATTTATTACTAAAATTTTGTTCGAAAATTTATGCCCATTATGAGCCTACAGAAGTACTGTACAATTTTAAAAAAAGAACAATCGCTAAATGACCCATTTTACATTCAATTATCATCCAAAGGTTAAAAACATAGAAAATGATGTTGGAAATGGAGATAGAAAAAAATTAAGTTTTGTTAAATCCGAGTTTTCCCACGTGCTTGATCAAAGGTAATAAATTTGACCCTTGTTTTAATTTTATTAATGTAGTTTTTTCCCAAATGTACATTTAGCTTTTTTTGTATGAAGCGAGTAGAATCTAAAATCAACGTTTTATAGAATGTTTAAAAGTTATGCACACAGCATTATAAATGTAATTCATCTTCCATGAATGACATTGGTTTAAAAAAAACTTTGTTCCTTTGAGGTCTCTGAAACCTCATGATTAGTGAGATTTTATAAGTCAACTTTATTCTTTATGAAAAAATCAACATTTTTCTTTAACTGCTGGTTTTAACCAAACTGGCGATAATGGTTTGCTGTATTTAATTTTCATTAATGACTCCCATAATTATTAATATATAATATTTTTACTCATCAGGAGCAAAGACATTTTCTTCTTAATTTTATTCTGATTCCTCTCGCTCAAAACAAAAAAAAAATATATTTAAATTACAGTACCGATAATAAATAATGTCACAATGACTTCTATGCTTTTTACTTTTATTTTTACGGGGTATCCCAAAACTCAACGTCAAGTCGAAACGAGGTGATAGAATTGACACATTCCACATTGTTTGAAAATTATGAGTTGTTAAGTGCAACCTAAAGCTTTGGTGATAAACGGTTAATATAGTTAATTTTTACCTCCCCGTAGGGTAAGATAAAGTAATCGCAAAAAATAGAAAATAAAAATTTTATATATCTTTACGTTTCAAAGGTTTCTGAACATTTTGGCATACCTTAGAAAATATGGATGTATGTGTGTATGTGTGAATGTTAGTGTATGTTGTGTAGTTGTGTGTGCGGATACAAATTTTCGTCGACGATTTCGGAAACTTTCGATTCGTATTGATAATGAGACGTGCTGATTATTTTGTGGTAAAGGCAGGTCGAGCCATTTCGAAGATACGGGGCGAAAAGTACCAAAAATGGTAATTGATTTTTGAGAGAACGGAGCGATTTGTATGTTTCAAAAAACATTTTATTTGTACTGACCAAATGAAGAACTGATGAAATGTTTGGGTAGCAGGTCCGGCGGTTTTGGAGATCCAATAAAAAATGCCATTTGACGGACAAAAATGATGATTAGACATATGCACATCAAATTAACACATATTTCAATCACAAATTTTGTTCATTATATGGGTTCCGTACCAATGTTTATCTGTTATACAGCGGCGCCCACGCGCTTCGATGTTTCGTTTCTACGCAGCTAACGTATCGCGATTGCTTCCAAAATGTTTCAAAGTATTAAAAAAATCGATTTTTTCAAAAAGGTCAATTATTTTCAAAAATTTTAAAAATACCAAAAAAAAATTTTTTTTACAGTTCTGAAAGCAAATTGATTATTTTCTAAAAATTCAAATGTTTGGTACGTGAAGTTCCAGCAATTTTGTTTTGCTGGAATTTGTTATTGCATTTGTTATTGCTTTTGTTCATTTAAATTTTGGAATCGTCACCATATAAAAAGCATTTCTATGCTTATAGTGAAAAATAATGACACAATTGCTCCAAGTTTTCAAGAATTAAGACTTTTTGTTAAACTATGAATTTAATCTGTCTACTTTGAGATGCCCTCCTTTAAAGAAAATGTACTAAAGTGTGATAGCAAGTTTCATCAAAAGTTGACGCATTTAATAAGTTAAAATACTTGATAGTAAAATGGTAAAATACTTGAGAGGTTCACAATGAAAAATTTTGAGTGAAATGAAAATCTGAAAATAACAAAGTAAAGGCTAACGTATTTCGCTTACATTTAGTTCAAATATTTCGCTCTCGCACATTGATTTTTTCATTATAAATTTATCAAGTATATTATCATTTTAAAAACCTGATTAAAAGCGCCAGCTTTTGATGAAACTTGCCAACACACTTTGATACAATTTTTTAAGAGATGCGTGTCGAAATCGACCGATCTTAAAAATTTTAAATTCAAGTTCAACAAAGAAGTAATTCTTTAAATATTAGGTCAATTGTGGGTCGATTATTTTGGACAGTGGTTTTGGACAATGTTATTCATTAAATGTTATTCGAAAAATTGTCACAACTTCACCAAAGCTTTGGTTGCCCTTAAAAGCTAATAATTTCTAAACAACGTAATATTTCTTTTTGTTTTCTATTTTTGTCGCTTGACGTTGAGTTCTAGGATACTCTAACATATAAAATTTTATATTTTATGATTAACTAAATATTGAAAATCAATCTTATTTTAGACTCCTGAAATTACATTCAAAACACATTGCGTTGTAACTTAAACATCAATGCCACAATCACAATCTCAATAATACAACATTTACCGATTCGTTCTTATTTTTATTTCATCAGAATCAGAAGATCTTAAATATATTACTATATTTGTAGCATGATTAAAATTGTTTTAAGTGAATTGGTTTTGTCTATGTTTTTACCTTTATAGTTTAGTATTTTAAATCCCATGAAAGTGATTTAATAATGTATTAATTTAATTTAATTTTAATTGCAGAGTTATTTTGTGACAGATTATGATCCCACCATTGAAGATTCATACACAAAGCAATGTGTCATAGACGACATCCCAGCTAAATTGGACAGTAAGTGAAACAGGATTTATTATTATATAAAGATTACTTTTTAATTAATAAAAATAATTATATACAAATTATATTAGATTTAAGACATAGGTAACTTAATAATATAGTAAAACTTAATCGTGTACAAAAAACATTTTAATCGTGTTCTCCAAGTTATCTCTATTTTAAATATATCGTATAAAATTGATTTAGCTGAGACATTACTAATATTATAAAACAAATATGATTCATTAAAATGAACACAAAAAGCCTCAATACCTAAAAATTTAATGTAGATAAAAAAGTTACATAATAAATATAAATACTACTAAAAGCTAAATTCAGTATGTAATATTGGAGCACAACAGCAACTTCAACTTTATTTTGAAATTTTTCGTAGTTTCTTACAGTTGATCTTGCAAAATATTTATCCAACTTAATTTCAACATTAAGTATTTTCTGTTCAAGCTTTTAAGCAAGCAATTTGATCACAATGGCTTATTTATTTTTTGCTCAAAAGGTACAAGTGAATTTTAATATTGATTATTCCTTGTGACTCATATTTACTACACAAATCACAATACACTTTTTTTACATATAATCATCTTTGGACATTAAACATTTGTATCTCAAATATAAATAAACACACAATCACAATTTTATAAATCTACCATCACGCATTCTGATGTTTGTCCAAATGTTTTTCAAAAAATTCTAGTTCAGTACTTAAATCTTTGAGAAGATTTTGCCTGTCGGCTTGCTTCAAGTAACCTAATATAGTCTTCAGCAATTGAGTGTAAACTTCTGCTAAGGCTTGAACATCCGAATGTTTTGTTATATTCAAACACTTAGTGTAAAGTTTGTCTAAATGTCCTCGATCAATTATTACTTTCTGAGAGTCCGTTGGTTTAACCTCCGCCAAAAGATCAGATACATCTAAAAAGTCATCAACAATTTCCATAGATATATTGCTATTATTTGATTGTTTACTAGTATTTGCATTTGAAGCATTGGTTTTGTTGTTAGGATCTGTTACTACCACTTTGGCTTCAGCCTCTCTTGCTCCTGCTTCTTGAATTTGATTTCGGATCATTCTGCGCTTAGCAATTTCTTGACATTCATCTTCAAAGTCTGTATCCATTTCTCCTTTTATTTTAGCATATGCATAGTCTTTTAAAGCAACAGCACAATGTCTTATCTTTTTATCAGCACTGGTCTTATTGGGGTTATATTCTAAAGCATTTGCACAGATTAGATCGATGTCTTGGAGAAATTCTTTGGCAGTTGTATATCGATTTAAATCTATTTTTGCTATCATTGTTTCTAAATCCATAGGTTGCTTAATAACATCTAAGTAATCTTTAACCTCATCTAAGTCTACTGGTTTTGCAAACATCCGAAAAGTGCGCTGTTTACTTAAATGATGGGCAATCTCTCTCAAAAATACACGTAACTCAACTAATTTCTCTTCTTCTTGAGATTCAAATTTTGCTAATTCTTCTGGTGTATAAATTCTAGCAGGAGGTGTGGGTGCTCTGGGTAAAACCTCTACTTTTCTTGTTTTTGGCTTCACTTGAGGAGGTTTCAGTGCCAAATTAACAAACAAAGGTTTGAAGAATTCTTCTCGAGACTGTCTCATTGGATGATTAGTCATTGGTAGAACACATCGTAAATGAGCAGGGAATAATGTTTGTATGCGATCATCTAATTCCTCAAGCATCATATTAGCAGTTGCTAATACAAGAACGGGTGAACATTTAGTTATTATCTGAATTTTTTCTGCAAGTATGGCCTTGGTGGCATCGGAAGCATGTTCCCACAGTAAGTCTAAAGAAGGCAAGTAAAGAATACTAGGCGCTCTACGCATGCATTCATCTAGCATGTGCGACACAGTTTGCTCTTGAGATAATGACAAATCATCAGTACCATGTATTGAGCTGACATCTAAATTGTAAACGCTCAAATGTTCCATGTGATGCAATAACGCAGGAGCCAAATAAGATTGGCCGCAACCTTCCGATTGTCCAAGAATCAGCAAACGCGAATGGAATAAAGCATGATCCTGCCTCAGAACCTGAACTTGTTTTGAAGTATCAGGATCCATATACGGAAAGACTTTTCCCAACCTCTCTACGGCGTCTTTCAAAGCTGCATCCAGGAGAGGTAATAAAAATCGCGGTAAACGTCGTCCATATTTATTTCCCTTTCGAGACCCGGCTGGTATTATTTGAGCTTGAGCTCTGAGGAAATCGACATGTTCGACTTTAACTTTCTCGGTGTCAATGGCTAATTTGAATTTTGACTCGTAAATTTGCGGATAAGTTCTTCGCAGGCTTTGAAGCATAGCTTCGGAACACAGCGCTTCAAGATCAGCGCCGCAGTATCCATCTGTTAGGTCTGAGAGCTGAGATATCATATCATCACCAGGTGCCCCATTTTTCCATTTAGATACATGAATCTTCAAAATAGCCTCACGCTGCGATCTTGCAGGTAGGGGAAAGAATAGCTCTCTATCAAATCTGCCGGGTCTTCTTAGCGCTGGATCTAATGATTCTATACGATTTGTAGCTCCGATAATTATGACATCGCCTCTTGCTTCTAAACCATCCATCAGGGTTAGTAATGTCGAAACAATACTTGAATATACTTGATCTTGTTTCGATGTACGCGCGGGACAAAATCCGTCAATTTCGTCGAAAAATATAATAGATGGTCTCATGAGCTGCGCTTGTTCGAATAACAATCTCAGATGTTTTTCGCTCTCTCCAAACCATTTATTTAATAAATCACCGCCTTTGCGTAAAAAGAAGGACACTTTTTGGCCTGTGTTAGCGGAACATTCACCTGCTAGCGCTCTAGCTAGTAAAGTTTTACCAGTTCCCGGTGGACCGTGAAATAGAACGCCTTTAGGCGGCTTTGTGCCAAATTGCGCAAATACTTCTGGATACAACATTGGCAAAATGACCATCTCTCGTAAGCAACGCACATGAGAATCCAAGCCACCAACTTGTTCAAAGCGGAAGCCATCATCACCAATGCTAAGGGGCTGAATATCAGATAATTTAATATGCGAGGTATCCATATCATTCGCCGGTTTTAGTTTATCTTTATGTTTTTGCTGCTGGAGGCAACAACCGGAGGGCGTATATAGGGAGTTTGAGCTCTATCATCTTCTTCATCGTCATCGTCGTCACTGAGATCTCGAATGCGTTGTCGGGTTGCTCTCAAACATCTTCTACGGCGTTTCGGCTCGGGTTCTGCATTTGACCAAATGTCGTATTTATTGTAATCTCTGTGCGAACGATAGCTGCGCAAAGGTTTTCTTTGACGTAATTCATATATCCTGCCACCTCTAACATCGTCGCTTGAACTCTGTCTCTCACCTTCTTCATCTTCCATCTCGTCCTCCAATTGGGGAGAATCTTTACGGCCTGGTTCGGGTGTGGAAGTTCCATTGGGAAATTGAGATCTAGTATCAGCATTATTATTATAAGAAGCACGGGGGTTCGATTGATCAAGTATATCCATAGATGACGCTTTTTTATTTTGAGAAGTTTCGTCTTTTTGTGAAGATTTATTAGGTGAACTTCTAGACCTAGTTCGAATTCCACCACTATTATTTGCATCATTCTGTTCTTGTTCCGATCTTCTTGTGCTATTTCGTTGTTGACGGACATCATTATTATAATGTCTCGATCGGCGCTCGTAACGAGAATTCCTATAATTTACTACTACTTCAACATCATCATCATCATCATCGTCGTCGTCGTCATCCACTTCTTCATCTTCTACTGCTCTTGAAGAATATCGTCTTAATTGGCCAATTTTCGGCGAAATAATATCGCGATAATTGGTATTAGTTCTAGGTCGCAGATTTTTTCTAACTGCTCCATTTACACGCGAATGTTGTTGAACTCTGCGAGAAATACGATCGCTGTTTCGACGCGCGTAATCGGATGAGTCACTCTCAAAATCTAGCACATCCCTGCGGCGCTTTCTAGACCTGCCTAAAGCCCGTTGGTCATCGCTATCTTCCGACATTTTGCCGTCGTCCGCTCCGTCTGCACCTCCTCCACCCCTCCTTGCGCTGCTGAAGCGCAAACTCTTCCTTAGTATACCCAGCTTTGCAATTTACTGACAGTGGATAAAAAAATTATTGCCCAACTATCGATTGTTGAAGGCCGAACTTTCTTCAATATTTCATCCCTGTGATAGACAAGAGAATGAAAAAATATGACACTTTCCTTTTAGAGTAATGTAATATATATAACTGTGTAATACTTCTAGAACTTCATATAGAATTCAGTATAATATTTTCAGTCATTGTCTGCAACTGTCTGTAGATTAATTATCTTGGCTTCGCATCTTAATGATAGTAATGCAGTAACCAACAGAACTATAAACTTATTTCTTGCTTTTATTAAAAAATATAATTTTAGGATAATTTAATAAAACTTTAATCTTCTAACCTCTTGGTATTTTTTATAAAATCGGCATTTGGTATAACAAAATTGTATATAGCTTTAAGATTATTTTTTCTATTTAAGTCCTGGATACTGCCGGTCAAGAAGAATTCAGTGCAATGAGAGAGCAATACATGAGAAGTGGTGAAGGATTTTTGCTCGTGTACGCAGTGACGGATAGGGCTAGTTTCGACGAGATGTACAAATTTCACAGACAAATCTTACGTGTCAAAGACAGAGACGAATTTCCAATGCTGATGGTCGGCAACAAAGCAGATCTCGAGACGTCTCGCGTGGTAAGTCAAGTCGACCCAGCGTATTTTTGAAGAACCTATATAGAAAAAAACAAAAGCATTAAATTTTCTATTATAAAGGTGACAAAAACTATACATCATAATAATTGATCATTTTTGACAATCGTTGTACCGTCTGTACGTTGTAAAAAAAATTGCAGGGACGTAAATCATTAATGGCGTTAATGAAAGACCAAAGAGCAATTTTGAGTCATCACTGACTAATTTATAGAGGTTAATTTAATCGTGGTAAATACCAAGCGATTGCAAATGTTTATATTTTTCCCTCGATATCAAGAGATATTATAAATGCTTTGTTTTTATTCAAAATATTTTTATTTCATCTCATGAAAGAGAATAAATAATGAATAAATACGCTGGTCTTAACCCTTTTAGCTACGAGTGTTTCTTGCAGGATTGACGCTGCTGAACGGAACGGCGAGTTGCTCAGTATAGTCCAGGGGGTATTCTACTGTAGAGTCATGAATTTCGCCCGGTTTTTGAAGCGCTGTATAAAGGAAACAAATAATATTTTTCTATCGATTTTTTTATCATTTGTTTATTGATATTTTATTATTACATAAAAAATTATTAAAAAAAATTAAAATTCACAAAGTTATGAGCAGTCAAAGTGGGGGTTCCCAAAAAAAGAGGGTGTCCTGGCGTACATGATTCCAACCCTCCTGGTGATTTGAAACATAAAAAATAGATGGATTCTTAATTATTATAGATGCCGCTATCGTATGAACCTTGGATAAGTTAAAAAAAAATTTTTTGTTTGAATGGCGGCAGTTTGAAAAAAAATTTTTTTTCCTGTTTTTTTAACATTTCCGAATTTTTTAAAATACTAAATGAAAAGTTATAGTTTTGGGCAAGGTCCATACGATAAAGCGATGTATAGAGAAGATTCTCTCCAAATTTGAAGTAAATCGGTTCATTAGAACTCATCCTTACCGCCAGCTCGAAAAAAGTAGTTCCGAGAAAAACGCGTTCAAAGTTTTGAGACAAGTCGGACCCGAACCGAGGCCACGTCACTAAAACGGCTATAACTCAGGAAATAATAGTAATTTTGAAAAATCCTTTAATGACATATTTTTGAATAACTAAACTGAAAATATGAAAAAAAAATTTTTCGGTTTTTTCAAAATTCTATAGTAGAATTCACCCTTAAGCTTAAATTAGGTAAAAATCTCGGAATTCGAGATCCCCAGCTGTAAGTTTGTAAATACTTATATTGACGCCCTAAAGTTGTCTCAAAACCTACATATGGTAGGGTGTCAATACCATATGTAGGTTTTGAGACAACTTTAGGATGTCAATATACAAGTATTTACTGACTTACAACTGGGTATCTCTAATTCCGAGGTGAACTTGCTATTATGGCTGGATTAGTAGCGCTACTGAACGGATCGAGCAAATCAATATATTTAAATTTCTATCATTATCAATGAAGATGCATTCAAAAATGAAAAATTACACTTTTAATAACTGAACATTATGATAAAAAATACAATTATTAACAGTTTAACTCATAGTAACATTTCTTGAAGCAAAAGTCGATGCACAACATGCCTTCTATAGACGACATCCGTATACACAGGTAGTCATGTGAATGTCGTCTATAGACGACGCTCGTAGCAAAAGGGTTAAGCATAAATTTAATAAACCGTATACATCTCAATTTAATAAACTGTAGCAAATTGAACTAATCATTATACGTCAGGAATTCAAATTCGTCATAAAACATAACTCTTTGACTTTAAACAAATAATATTATTGAACAAAAATACAAACAATTTCACAATAACAGATCGCAGCATGGGATAATATTTAATTTAAATTGCTAGGCGAGCAAATGCATTAATACCGTGGTTTCCAACCTGTGGGACGGGATGCCTCAAAGGTTTGTTACAAAGGGTCGTACAGTTTCCAAAATACTGTTTTCGAATAATAAATGATTATTATTATGTATATTTTTACATATTAATGTATATTAATAAGCAGTCTGATAATTAAATTGTATCAGTCGAAAATTGTAAAATTATATTGTTTATATATTATATTGGAAAAGGTCGTTTTATTGGAAAAGTTTTGTACAAAAATCTATCTCAAAAATTGGATAGAATTATATGTTACCTTGTCATAAGGTCGATGACTGATTTTAATGACTTAAAAGCGGTTTAAATTTCGTTTTGTAGTGACAGTTTGAAATGCTGTGTTTTAAATTGTCATTGTGACATATATAAGCCGAATAATATACTAATATATTTTTCACTATATAACCCTTTCCACTCGGATGCGTTACTCCGGCGGCAAAGTACGTATTGATTCTGCAATTCGCGACTGGTATACCAGCGTAAATATCAGTAAAAAAATTATAGCAAAATTAAATAAGCGATTTTTATACATTTGTTCAGAAATTGAAAAAAAATGTTTATATTTTAACCTAACTTCATAGTATACTCATTTTGATTGTTACAGCATAACTTCCTTTGATGACTTGAATCAAAGTTCTCGCAATTTAAAACCTTAAACAAATTGGGGGCCAATTCTCCGGTAAAATAGACCATAACATAGCGTTGTTATGGCAACGTTATGTTATGCTCCTTACTTAGCACCCTTGGTACTGAAACTGCCAAAATTCTATGTATTTGCTGTGCAATCAGGCGTTTTACACATAAAACTAAACTTCGTGCATGTGTTATAAATGCACATCAGGAAGATGTTACGATAATATTCTTTTTTTGACAATTGTGTGTCTTCTAGGTTGGGCTTTATATCTAAAACGTCTGACTGCACAGCAAATGCATAGCATTATGACAATTTTTAATACCAAGAAAGGAACGTTTCCAGATTTTACCTGAGAACTGGCCGATTTATACTAATTTTCCGGAGAAATTGAATTTTGAATATTATCAAAATATATCTATTTTTTTAACATAATAATAAATACCTATATAATTTAGTACACATGGGTTGCAAAAATCGAAAAGTTATTGATTTTTTTTCCTCCAGGTGTCTGTAGAAGAAGCGCAAAATCTGTCAAGACAATTAAAAATACCTTACATCGAATGTAGCGCTAAATTGAGATGAATGTTGACCAATCCTTCCATGAACTAGTTAGAATTGTCAGAAGATTTCAATTATCAGAAAGACAGATACCAATTAAATCCAATTATAAGGATAAAAATAAGAAAAAATGCTGCATCTTGTAAACTAGTTAATAACAATACTTATATGAATAAGCATGGATCATATTCAATACGACCATATTTTTGTAAGTATTTTTGGAGACAAAATATAACATTTTTGAGTTG